ACTTAGTTGGAAATACTCGATGTAGTTTTTAGTACTTCGTACTTCAGAAGTACAAAAAAGTACGAAGAAGTATCAAGAAGTACGGAGAAGTACCGAGAAGTACAGAAGTATGCTTTTTCCCCCTTGGGTAAGGGTGAAAAATATTAGAAGTATTACCAAGGGGGGAAAAGCAGACTTCTGTACTTCTCGATACTTCTCCGTACTTTTTGTATTTCTCCGTACTTCTGAAGTACGAAGTACGCTTTTCCCCCTTTCGTACTTCAGAAGTACCGAAAAGTACAGAAGTATGCTTTTCCCCCCTTGAGTATTACAGGCAGCTTATTGCTCTTTTGAAATGTGAGCGATGTCAAATACTTTTAACTTTCAGTGAAAAAATTTTGATAGCGAATCAATCTTTTATTTTATTGATTTTATTAAAAAATACAAATAGAATTCGATATGTTTTCTTTTATTAAAATAATTGTATGTGGGAAGTCAAGGAAGCTAATTCTATTAAAATTTTGAATAATTGTATTTGACTAATGCAATCATTACCATACAAAACTCAGTTAAATAAGAATAATTTACATCTTTTTATGTCTAACTAGAACATTGATTACTTAGTAAAATAAGTAAACTCAGTAATCTATTTCATTCGTTATACAAGAGAAAATAACAAGCAAATAGAGAGAGAGAACGCAAGTATTATTAATATGTAGTTAATAAAAATGTAGATCAATATTTTCAGTTAAAATTTTAGTTGTAAAGATATATTTGATTCGAATTAATATCATGCTGTCGCCTATAAGAAAAAACTATCGTATAGCTGTAAGTTCTTTTCATTTCGATTCAGGTACCATTCAATCTGTTATTATCTGTTCAGTCTAGTTTGAAACTGCCACATGGAAGAGTTTATGCCGCAGTAAGTAGTTTCTGTCATCTATATATCCGTACATCAGATCTTGTTTAGTCTCAATTACAACTTCCTGTGAGTGAGCATGAAACTTCTAGTACATGGTTTATCGAAAATTCTGAAACAGTATGTGAAAATAAATATAAATTATTTATTCTTCTTTCGGTTGTTTATAATTCTCATTTATCCTAATCATAGCAAGAGACTTCTTCGGTGCAAAATGACTCAGTTTGGTCAGACATTACTATTCCGGCAACTCCAACAAAGCAAGACGCTTTCTTCAGAAGTCCATTATTTCAATTGTCAAAATCCTTTGGATGCATCATGTTTGGCATCTCGTTATTTTTATTATGCGCAACTGGGATTATCGTTCCGATTGTAGTCTCTTACGAACTGAGATTAGCATCAGGTAGGTTTAAGAATACTCTGATTTTCAACCTTCAATCACGGTAAAGCCTATTTATTGATGATATCAGAACATCGCTATAACGGAGAAAAACAGATGAAAAAATACTTAAATTAAAAGAACACTCACTTGATGAGAAAAGCTTTTGAATTTCTTAATTTGATATTGAAACGTTTCTATAGTACAATAGTTGAATTTATGAGTAACTTTGAAGCTAAAGATCTGTAGAAGCAGGAAGCAATTGAGATTAGATTTTATTGTTACAGAGTTTTGTAGCAAACTCAATGGTGACTTAAAGTCCGTTCAAAAATTGGAAAAAATTCATGTGTAAGTTCCAGAGTTGCTTTTAGCATCTCATTTACCTGTTATCCATCATCCATTGCAGTGATATCAAACTATTACCTGTAGCGGGTAAAGCTAAATCCATCGCCGCTGCTAGGTAACGGCGTAACGGTCTCGTCGGCACGGCCAAGACCGGTTTTTACGGTTCCAAAGCATGTTTAATCAAAAAACGAATTAGATATTCGAACTTCGCATGAAATTCATGGGAAAATAAATCTCATGGATAAACTAACTCGGGCCCTATCTGATCAAGTGAGGGTGAATTTTCAGTTTTTCATCCAAATAATGTGGAGATTTATGAGATTTTAATCGATGAACATTGATCAGTAAAAAGATTTATCAAGAAAAACTTTTGATATAGGAGCCTGATAAGGAACTGCCCACTTTGACATCCCCTATACCCTATATACGCGTCAAACCTACTATACTCTGTATATCTAAAGCTATTATATATATATATTGTATTTGGGACATATTAGTACATGTAGCGATACTTGGGTTACTATCGGGTTCTGGATGAGTTGTATATTCTTTATGTCCGTATAATACCAACATATTATGGTATACAATGGGTTTAGCAGTCTGACTGACCTGTTAAATTACATACTTGCATTATCACATCTCTGTGTTTTTCTAGTCTCATCTTCCATGTCAGAAACCGTTACAACTACGACAATAGTCAGCTCCATAAGTACAATTGCTTCAAGAGGTAGTTCAGTTTCTTTCACCACTATCTTTTGGTCATTTGACAACAACACAAATGATATGTACGGTGCTTACAATGGTATACCCATAAATGATTCCATGTACTTGTCGCCTGGTTTGACCGGTTATGGTTCCTCTCTTGTCCTAAACGGTACATTGAACCAATCAGTCACTGTTACCAACTATATTAATTTAACCAATGTCAGCTTCACATTTGAAGCGTGGATCTACTTGACTGTGGTTAGCAATGCTGATTATAGTATATTTGGTCAGTGTGAGTTAAGAGTACTCAACAAATGTTTACATTCAAAAATTAGCAATTACAAACTCTACTTCGGCTTCTTCTCAAATGATTTGCAAGGTTCGGGAAACCTATCAGTTGATACCTGGTATCACGTTGGCTTCGTTTATGAATATTCTACGATGACTCAATCAATCTATCTGAACGGTGTTTTAGATGGGAGTCGATCATGTGGAACATACTACAAAGGTACAAGTGGAAATTTGACAATTGGTACAACGAACGATAGTATAACCACACAATATTTTTCCGGACGTATTGATCAAGTATTGCTGACATTGGCAGCGAAAACTGCTACTGAGATTCTAGATGATGCCACACTCACTGCTTTCTATTCGTTCGATTCTGGTTCGCTTTATGATTCAGGACCTAATAAGATCAACGGTTCCGGCTTCAATACTAGTGTCGTGTCAGGAAAAGTAGGACAAGCTATTCGATTTGCTCAGAACTATTCATATTTTCAAATTACAGGACTTCTACTGTTAGGTATTCCAAATCAACCATATTCACTTGCTCTATGGATTAAGCCGACTGTATCTGTAAACGGTACCCTCATTCATACATCAAACATGACAACGGGCACAGGCTGGTGCGTACCGATGTTGGGATTGGATGAAGGAGGTCATATAATTGTCTCTAGTTTGAACGGAACTGTGCGGCCTAGTATTAATGGGACGGTGGTAAACCCAAATGTTTGGACACATGTTGCACAAACCTATGGTCCAGACAATGGACTAACAATGTATGTGAATGGTGCATTGTACGGATCCACCGGAAGTTTTGCGTACGCCGCGAGCGATTCGTTTGATACAATAACAATTGGAAATCCGCTTCTTGGCAATTCGTGCGAAAATGATTTTAGTCCAGGACAGTTCTACGGCGCAGTAGACGAATTTCGCCTGTACTCTAGAGAATTGTCAGCGGCAGACGTTCTCACACTGGCAAATCCTTAGATGATTGAACAATTTATGTTATCAAACATACGTCTAAATAGTCTTCATTTTACATTAATCCCATTTGAATTATTCCTTAGTTAGGAATTTAAAAAACTCCTTTTTCTCGCCTGACAGTCCCCTGAATTCGAAATAAATCTAGTTGAACAATTTGTAGCTGGTATTTGCAGCATTAGAATATGTGACAGACGTGTCCACTACCGTGTTACATTTTTCCGGTTAGATTGTTATAAAAAGTGCACCGAGCAACACTTTTGAACTTTTGTAGTGTAAGATTAAATCCTATTTCGCCCATCCAAATTGCACCGAAATAAAGATTTTAATCAGAGTCACCGACTATTTCACAAATGAGTTTTCCCCCAACTGAGCACTATTTCATTTATCAACCTCTTACGATAGACAAACATCCTTCCCGTAAAGAGATATTATTCGGTCTCTCACTCTCATGTCGTCTACTTCTCTCAGCCGTTCTCATCGACAGAGGTTATGGAGCCTTTCAGTCTTTACATAATCAGGAGTATTAAAAATATGATTTCAATTTGCGAAAACGTCATGTCCCACGAAGGTTCAAATAATTTTTATTCACTTCAGTGTTCTTGAAAAATCGCTAATCGTCCATTTTTCAAAAAGCAGCTACGACATCCTTCGTTAGCTTTTCTAGTAAAAGGATTATTTCACTTGATTAATCAATGGATTAATTATCTTTGCTACTGAATTACACTTTATTAATTTTTATTTACTCATGAGCTTTCGAATATTCAATATTCATCACCCGACAGATAAGAGATTTAAAAAAACACACGCATTGAACAGTTCAGTGGATAATTTATCAGTTTTCTTCTCTTTCTTTTCCTAAAATCATGTGACGGAAC